TATTAGCTGTGATTGTCTCCTTGAAATGTTCACAGACGACAATTTATCATTCTTAATCTATCGTAAGCAGAAATCCAACAATGTATTTTACAGTGATGATACTTTACCACGGCGTAACAAACTCGTCAGACTAAAGGAATTCATATCGATTATTGGGTTCTCTGTGAAGAGATACAATTACAAATCGGTGATTCATGTAAGGCTCTAATCAGGCTGGAAATAGATTCCCTTATTTACTCACACACCGATGTTAATGAAAAAATATACAATAAAACCCGTCTACTCGGTCGGATTTTTTCCGTGACGTTTTGATGAGATGCCCGTCGTGAATGGGAAAAATATTCTGAGGTTTTTTTTTCTTCTGTAATATTCAAGGCTACAGGCTATAGTCTCACGAACGTTTTACGTTCTGATTGACTGACAATTATTGGTGAACGTTTTGATACTTTAATTAAAGTAATAGAAAGAACACGTGGTAGTAAGCGTGCCGCTCCTATCATTTTACTTAATATGTTAGAACTTACTTGAATCATAACTTACATTTTTGCAAGAGTAGCTTCCGGTTACAGTTACACATAATTATGATATTGATATGGATTTGATATGGATTCTATAGTAGCATGTCTAAATATTCTTCATGATTTAGTGCCATAATCATTATAGTGTTACAACTACCATCCTGCGATTTCATTGGCAGAAATTATAGGTAATATTTTAATAATCATTTAAAGCATTATAAAAGCAGTTTATCTTTGTGACAATTCAATGAACAAAGCAGCTTTTCTTTCTCCCACAGTCGCTATAAATAATTGAATATAATCTTTTTTTATCCAGCTTGTTTCAAACCAAATAATGAATATTTCATTATATATATTTCTTCCTATTTAATGGAATGAAAACAGTACAATACGGTTTTTATCTGTTGTCAAGTTTGAATATCAGCTTTGCTGATAAACAAATATATTGAAAGTCTTTATTTTTTTAGAAATCAATTTTAAGAGTACACGTCAAGAAAACAGTTATTTTCGGAAAGCAAAAAGTTAGGCTTGTTCACTTTTAATCTATCAGAATCACTGGGTGGCATATATGAGACAAGTTTAAACACTTGCAATGTATTTCCAGATATTGCCAAGTGCTTATCTTTGATTATTTGAACTTTAAATTACAAACAATATCAAACGTTAATTTGTGTGTTTGTTTTTGAAACAAAACAAAAATACATATTGTTTCATAGCTGAGAATGTGTGTGTTGTTTTTGCATTTACACAACCAATTAAGTGATTTTACTCTGTGTTTTTTTTCGGCCGTAGACTGTTTATTTTCTTATTGACTTCCGGTCAATGTACGAGCTATTTTCCATCCTGTAACCGGTATTTCCCGGATAGATTAATGATGTGTTATGTCAAGAGTTAACATCGATATGTTTTTTTTTCTGCATTTAAAGTAAAGTTACCACAGCAATCAAATCTTGCTGAAAATATTTTTTTTAATTTTATGTTCATAAATAAAGGGAAACCATAATAAATAATACTCGAATGTTGAATTCTATATTTAGATAAATTTGCATCACGTGACGGTGAACTCATTGCACTAACTATTCTGCGTCATACAGAATGGCGTGATATAGAACTTTTGGGAATAGAAACTTGTCGTCTGCCATTTTTGATTATTAGTCATATTAGTGCGTTTAAGCAAAAAAAACATTTGGAAATTTCAACAGGCATTGTCTGAAATAACGATATTTAACAGAAATTATACAAGTGGGGAATTTTCTATCCCTTCTCAACGCTGGGAAGCTTTCTTTGATACCATATCCAATAATCCTGATACTGAGTACTAAGTTTTCTGATTTTGGCAGTAATTAAGTTTGTAACCAGATAATTTGCCATTTGCCATGCTTAAGTTAACCAAATCATTATCAATTACGCGAATGAATACAGATATTAGGTTTAAATATTCATTAACCAGGGCCAACCAAGAACACTTAATCAATAACATTGCATGCAGTGCAGAGATGCAATTCTACTTAAATCTCTACTCAAATTCGCCGTGTATCGCGTGCTGAACGAAAATAGTTCCGTCCGTCTTTAAACATAGAAAAAGAACCGCCAGAAGTAATCATTATAAAATATATTATGCAAAAGTAATTGTGCGTCTGATCGTAAATAAAAAAGAAGTCTGTGTGAAAATATGTGAAACCACGTTGAAATATTGCCATAGTGACTAAAAGGTTATATACCAATGATTATAAAATACGGGATGAGATTTGAAGTTTACCCTCCTGTATATGTATGGTCGTTCAATGCCTGTGATTACAGGATCCCATGATATCCAAAAATAGCATACGAGTTTGGTTGATGGAACCTTAAAGAGGTGGGGCATCTGTGAATGTATGCAGTATGAACCTTTACTGGAGTCAAACTTTATGCAATACAGTAACGAAAATAATCAAAATAAGATCTGAATAGTCCTAGAATAGCTAAAAAGTATACATGTTAATGAAAATTGACTACATGAAAAGTATCAAATGATGCTGTGTACAGTAATACTGAAAATACAAGTGTCAAATGGGGGTTGGTTGTATTTGTTGAAATTTATTTTTATTTATACTTGTTTTCCAAGCAAGTCATTCTTTCTTGTAAATGGCCAATACCACAAATTTAATGTACAACTTATGGAATAAATAAAGTTGAATGACTGCCCATTCATATTTGTTTATTCGTTATTTTCATTATTATGTTTTGATAACAATATGTGAATTATCTTTGTTTTCAATCTTTTCCCCTATTTGTCCAAGCTTTTATTTTAAACAGTCGAATTCAACATCATACCTTTATACGGTTATGATTTGTTGTTTAATCTAAAAAGGCCACACAATCTTTAGTTGCATCTTTAATAATACCACGTACATGTAATAATGAACTCAACTGTGATGCAATTGACTTTGATCTACAATAGGGAAAGGTTTTAGGGGAAATTGAAAGTTCAGATAATTTGACATTTGAGAAGCCTAGGAAAGCAAATCATTTCCAATTTGCAGAGGTGATGCAGGTATATGTTTAAAATATTCATGAACTGTAGACAAAAAAAAATGGAAACGGGCAATCAATATCAATGCCTGCGAACGAACGATGCAGTAACACTCAATCAAAAGAAAAAAAGGGAAACATCTGGTCTGAGCACTGTATATACCTTTTATAGAGTAATCAAGCGTCTGGCTACTCAGACGATCCTGAAAGCGTTTACATGTATTCGATACTTGAAATACATATTTATTTTAAAAAACGCTTATTCTAAAAGGGTAATCAGCAATTAAAATAATGTTTCAATTAGACATCATTTAAAAAGTCAAATTTAAAGTAAAAACATTTTCTTGGCAAAACATATGCATGTCATCGTTTATTTTTGGAGAAGATATTGCATTTTTGAATCAAATTATATTTAAAAGAGAGACTGTGGTCTTCATGTACAATAAACAGTTCATTATTTCCCCTCTTTACGTGATAATATGTTAACATTAGACACACTAAAACATGATATACTGTTTGTAAAATACCAAGTTCATGCCATAAAAATCAGAATAAAGTTTGAACATGCTATTTATAGATAACTCGTTTCATATAATTGTCAAATGAAAAAAAATTAAAGTGGAAAATTATAGAAGGGAAACCCCTCGGTACTTTTACTCTATCGTACCGCTCTCCATATGTAAATTAGTAAAGCGAATATTCTATTTTTAGCAACAACGTCAGTGACGCGCTAGAAATAACTATCGGCTTAACAGTGATATGATGCACTTTTCCAAGATGAAATTACTCATCTGCTTAGTTTGAAACTATACAGAATTGTTTTTCAAAAAAAAAAAAAAGAAGAAAGAAAGCAAGAAAAAAAGTAAAAAAAAAAGTCGCTTTAATAGAAAAAAATATGAAGCATGTCAGTCTAAAATTTCTCCCTGTTTAGGCAAACATTTCATTTCAAGTACAAATGTACTTTGTAACTTGATTGATATAATAATTCATCTAAATTGCAACTGATTTTGGCGTCACGTAATCAGCTAAAAAGTTTAATGCTACATGAAATTACACAACTTAAGCTGAAAGTCCTTGGTTGCATTTGCGGGCATTGTTCATCGCTCTCCGGCCCTGTTATGCCATTTATTGTTAATTTCTCAGAAATAGACACAAATACTAGGTGCTAGAGGTGTGGTACCGCTTTCACCACTGATGTCCATAAATATAGTTACTCAACCTTTAATGGTTTCCATTTTTAATATACATTCGTTGCAGTATTAATTCTAATGTGTAATACTGGGCAAGTTAATGACAGAAATCTGTATTTTCGTACAATTCCGTCGTTATCTCGTTTTCTTTCTTTCGCAATTCTTCGGCTATTTTCGTCATTTTTCGTAAAAAGAAAAATAAATGAAAGAGCAATTTATCGTATACAGTATAATATATTCTATAGGTAGTAATGATAATGGAGCGACTCTAGCCGAAAGCCATTACGTATCCATTACGACAGATTTGTTTCAACAATTCCAGACATCACTTAGAATAATGAGCACTGTTATGGAGTTATTTATAGCTTGCATAAAGATTAGGCACACTGTGTTTTTTATGAATGAATCCAAAAACTAAGAAAATATAGCGCTAAGACGTGATATATAGGGTTTAGGGTTTGTATGGCTTTATTAGCTGAAAAGAGAGGATTTGTTTACGTGATAAAAGCAATATACGTGTTACGAGGATATATATTTTGATTACGTTTGGCAAGTGAACGTATAGTTGGAAACACAATTTGTGAAGTATTATGCTACATCTAAAAATTCTAAATTTATGTTGAAATAAGTAATCAATCGAACGAACGTGCGAGCGAGCGAACGAACGAACGAACGAGCAAAGACTGAAAGAACGAAGTAACAAACGAAAGAAACGAAACGAAAACAACTGCATCACATAGTTTTCTTTATATCAAAATATTCTCTTTTTTCTATTTTGCAGAAATTCTATTCTTGTTGAACGACACCTATCTACAAAATGAGTGCCCGGTTCGAGCCTTGAAATAGCCGACAACACGGGTCAATGGCAGTCAATAATGTACCTACTGCGTCGCCTGGTGTCCCCAACGTCCGAGGTCAGCGGCTTAAAGGAGCAGGCTGAGGCGTCAAAGCTCATCCGGAAGTTCGGTCGTAAAGGCAAGGGGAAAGGTCAATTCAATATGCCAACGGGCGTTGCCGTTACTAAAGCAGGTAATCTAATTACATTACGCTTATGTACATATTTTTTATTTGCGACACACTCGTCATGGCGATGTTTTTATGACTAACAACTTGATGAATTTTGGGTCAGTGTATATATAGTATTTTACGTGCAATTGAATAATTAACTGTAGATCTTAGGATAAAACTATTGGAAAGAGATGATGTTTCTTTAAAAAATCATGTTTATTTATTGTACACTAATTCATTAATGTAGTTCACTTACCTTGTCAAATTGATCAGTTTGTCTTACAAAAGGATATCATGATTTATTACATGCTTTTCTGTGGTTTATAGAAATATATCAGTGATATAAAATTGGTAATTTCACTGTTTGAAACAGTGAAATTACCACTTTGATAATTTCACTGTTTTGAATTTAAGCCCCTTACGTTGTTTCAGTGAAATACCAGCGTGCACAGTACTGGGTACCAACTTAATGACGTGTCGTCGTAAATGACGTCACGTTGTATTATTATTTGGCGCGCTTTTCATTCAGTATTAGGTTAAATGTCGTTTCTTTGCATGTAATAAAAAGAAAATTTGCTTAGTTTAGTGTAAGATCGAAATATATTTCACCTTGTGAACACCAAAAGTTTATATTTCACTCGTGGCTGCGCCACTCGTGAAATATACCTTTTGCTGCCCACTCGGTGAAATATATTCCGATCTTACACTGAACTAAACAAATATCCTCTATTTATTTTATGCTTTTCAGTGGATTACTGATTTATCCGTGAAAATTATATTTGATAATTTCACAGTGAAAATTATCAAAATATAATTTCACTTTTTTCAATGACGAAACTACTTTTTTAAGATTTTCCCCATGTGGTACCTCAAATTTATTTTTACGGACAATTCTGACAATGTCAGGCTGTTAAAAGAAATAGCAAAGCTGAAATAGATAAATAACTTAAATGTCAAAAGTAACACAGAGAGAAAACTTACTTCTATTCCTTCAAATTCCAATCACCAATTTCGTCTCTAAATTTTTTTGTTTCGTTTTTACAGTCTGAAAAATACATTCCTTCCCCTTGCAAAACTGCTCTTGATGACATTTGGGCATATTAAAGTATCCTACGAGCAATAACTGCCGTATGCTTTATGAAAAATTGAAAAGCATTGACAGCCATCACTCGTAAAATAAATAAAACAACCCAGCGTTCCTTCAGCAGCTTCCAAGTTTTCCATATTCTTAGCTCCTTTTCTGAATGTTTTCACTTCTGTCAACACTTATTTTTTGTCTGTTACAATCCTCAAATAAGATTTCTTTCTTTTAAAAAGGTGTATGACTAACAAATCCAAATTATATCCTTCTGAATCTTACACAATTAATTTCCTCCCATGAAATACACAACTTTAAAAAATGGCTGCCGTTTACATTTTAGAAAGCCAGGTCTAATATCAATTCGCAGTAAGTAACAGAAATATGGATGGATGGTTGGAATTTTCTCCTGCAAGAATTGTTTGTTTTTATTATTAAAACAAGCGATCATTCATATTTCTTTAATAAAATGAATAAATATCACCGTCATTTAACCTTGATTGGAGGACTTATTTTTCAGCTCAAGACTTCTTGTTTTAAATGAGAAATTACCTCTAAATGGGGCTCTCAATGGGGGAAAAAGATTTTAATATTAACGTTAAAATTATTGAAATTTCGTTTTAACTTGTTTTTAAGCATAAAATAAAAGAAAATTTGTCTGTTTGTTGTGTAAGATGTAATTTTATTTCATCTCGTGAACTTTAAAAACAGTATTCTCACGAGTGGCGTAGCTCACTCGAGATGAAATAAAATTTCAAACAAACAAATATCCTCTATGTTGTTACAAAAATGTAGTAGTAGAAATGTTAAATATATACATGCAAATTTTATTATCATCAGTTCAATACATCATCATCATCATCAACAACAACAACAACAACAACAACAACAGCAACAACAACAACAACAACAACATCATAAATTTATATACAACAATTATATTGTTTGATAAAAAATAATTATGATACAAAATACATGTACATCTTAAATTAAATAGAGATTCAAATACAAAAATCGTTCATGTTAAAGCATTGCAAAACATTAAAAACATCTGGTTCTGTACGTTTTATATTTTAAAGAATCTAACTTTGAGATATTAATGAACAAAAGACACACATGAACAATTTATAAAAATATCACTAGAATTTTTACTATAACTAAATAAGAAAATTGTCGTCATACAGATTGTTTTTCTTCGTTTTTCTCCTCAATGTATTTTATGGTTTATACATGTACTTGATCATGGAAGCATTTAAGCTGCAAAAACTGGAATTACGCTATATTTAGTAATGAGACGTAGCAGGAAATCACGATTCCTTCTGTCAGATTCGCACGTAGATTAGAAGCTAGGTAGAGATGCCACTTTATCCGAGAATGACGTCATTTCAATTGGAAACACCAGCATGTAACTGTTATCGACACAAGCCTTTCTTTACTGATCTCTACTGATCAAATTTACATTAGGTATCACTGTGTCGCTGCTTCTGTGAATTGTTGATGATATTTTTCACAGCATAACATATTGTCTGATAAATGTATTATAGTACACAAGTGAGGAATCAGTGTTACGTTATTTATAATGCAAGCATTTTTGTGTTATTTTGATTTTTAAAAATCTGATAATACCCAAAGTATAAAGAGGGCAAGTTAGCATGCCTGACAAGATTCGATATTGATATTAAAGACTATTCAACTGGTGAAAGTCAACTAGTTTATTTACATTACACATACATAAATCATAGTAAAATTATTAAATGATAAATATAACCATCTTTAACACAATTTATAAGAGAGTTTTTGTTACATGATATTAACAAAATATAACAAACATTATATTTTATTACATCTGATAAACTAAAATAAAAAAAAGAATTATCGTAAAAACACCAAATAATAGAAATACCTGCACTATCATATATGAATGACTAAATATTTTATGTTGAAATCGCTTGTACAGCATGTGACCTGTCTAAAATTGGTATATTTGATTAAGAACTGAAGTGAGTCCAAGTTTGACCATTTTCAAGTAAGAAACTAACTATCAAAACGTGATACTATGCTTACATTTATTTAAATATTTTATTAGACTGCTGTGCAAATTGTGATATAATATTTAGACCGAATGTATCCGATGTTAAATAACTATGCAAGTAGTATGTTATAGACATCAATCTAGTTTACTTGCTAAAATAATTAGATTATACAATACAATATTGTGAAATTGAAGAATATTGTAACAGGTTTTGACTGCAAGTTTAACAATATTATTTTTTAGAAAGTATAGATATAAGTTTGTCTTCATCATATATGTTCACAAATTCTGACATTTAATTACATATACATGCTTCTTCTAGCAAGGATAATCTAATTTGCCCTTCTCATTGCATGACAATAATGAATGATTTTCATCTTCAACTGTACTTTTACATATTGGACAAAATCCTATTGTCTACATCAATATTTTCATACATACCAGCTTCAAGATTTCATACGAGCTACACCACGTCTCGTCTGAATTCCGTCAAAGCAATGTTATAGTAATTTAAACCTTAGTACTTTCCATTTAATACTGAAAAACAAACTTTCTAGGACAAGAACTGCACGTTTTGTTTTCAATCAAGTTCAATCAAGTTCCATTTACAGGCGTGTCTGAAAATTAAGAGTGACAAACTTGTTTGCATAGAAAATAAATCGCCATCTAAAGATCATAGACAAAATCGGAAACATAAAACGGCTGTGCAATTCAAATAGTTATCTCTTTCAACAAATTACAAATAAAATCTACATTTAAGAATTTCATTGAAATAAAAGAGCGCATAATAGATTCCTGTGACGATATAAATTACGTAATATATTTACATACACTCACAACTGCACGTAGACTTGCAGATAAAGTGAATATGACATTTTAGCTGAGATTGACGTCATAGCAAATGCAAAAATAATTATGGCTGGTTATGATGGTAAAAATATACTTGCTTTACCATACTATCGTTTTCACAAAATTAAAATTATCCCATTATTATTCCGCGTTGTCCAAATCTCCATCGTGACTTTATTGCACCATTGGCTGAGAGCTGTATTCGGCGTAACAATGCAAGTTTAATATTGCAATGACTTAAGAGGGCCCATTATGCCATTTATTGCTTTTATTTTTATTTCTCAAAAGGTTTTTAATTTTCGTGTACTTTTATAGCATCCAAAAGGTTACTCATAGGGCAATTACCAACAATTGTTTCGGCAATAAGTTCAGTTTAAGTAAATGAGTATTTTGTATGGAAGTTAAAATACTACTTTGTTTACATTTTGCTAGTTTAAACTGTTTTTATAACAAATTATTACAATTTATCGTTACTTTCTTCAAGTAACAAGTATCAAACATTCCCTAAAACCATTATTTAAATTTAAGTTATTATAATTTAAATTCATGTTTGCCTTAAGTTTATCAAAAAGAACCAAATTTGTGTTTCTGAGGAATCCTGTGCGTTTAAGAAACAATCAAAAAAGATATTCAGTTTTGAATATTAATAGCCTAATTTACATATCGTTTCACAATGTAATGTTGTATCTAATGTGTGTAATGTCACGATTGCCTAATGCGTATTTTAATGAACGGGTGGTCATTTTCGTAATATTTACTCCAGTTTGAAGATTATTGCATACTGTGCTTGTTTTTAAAAAAGACGTTCGTTTATAGTTCAGTTATATAGCGTTCGTTGGAAAAAAATCACAGATGTGCTGATTTTAAATGTCATACGAATATCAATCGTCTGCACATCAAAGATAAATCAGGTTTTAATCGGAACACTTATTCTACTAAGTATATTTTTCCCACGTATCGCAACAACGTATGAAAATAGCATTTCTTTATGTATAGCGTTTGAAACAAATAACCGCATTTTGTGACAGGGCTTACATTTGTTCCTTCTAAATTTATTGATAT